TATAAGACCTACATATTCATCAAATTTGAATTTATGCATAGAAATCAAATTTCAGAAACTTACCACATATACCTAAGAGTGTTGTATAAGCTGATGAATGTTTATAATGTGCTAATCCTAAACAGCAAAAGCAAGATTTGGTTTAGGGAACAGATAATATAGAAACTGAACTTTGCAACATTGGGGATGTACTTATACTAAAAGTTTGTTTACCTGAAATTCAATTTGAACTGGGGGCTCCATGATTTTATTCCCTAAGTCTGGCAATCCGAGTGGCAAGTGAGTGAGGGATTCTGTGTATGTAGGGGCAGGTGGGAAATGAAAGCCAGTGACACAACATTTTGCAGGCAGTTTCAAGTGACAGTATCCTGATCCTAAGTATGAGCAGTGGAAAATCCAGAGAAATAACTCAATGTTGAAAGCTGTAGAGGAGGCAGAAAGATTAAGATTTGGTGACTGGTTGAATTTGAGGCTGAGGAGGAGGGACAGAGTTGTGGAGAGTGAAAAAGGTTTGGTCAGTGGAATTGCTGATAGAGATTACTTCTATTTTAGACATGTAGAGCTGGATGTTGTTGAGGAATATTCAGTCTCACTGATACAGAATGTAGATGGATGTATTCTGGGTAATAAAGTAATTTGAAAATAAAATGGATCCAAGAAGCCATGGACACATGTACTGATGCTTCTCCATCTATTCATTCCATTAATCTTTTACATACTTACCTCTTGTGTCCTCACTTCTTCCTTTTCTCACAGGAAAACCCATTCCTATCTCAGTTTTAGTCTCTTGCTCCAAGTTTTGCTGGTGATCTAAGAATAATTTCACTTATAAATGTTGGACTTTGACTTTTTCTTTTCTTCTCATTGACCTATTTCTTATTATGCTGCTGGCATCTTTTCTTCACTCACCTCAAATCAGTCTGTGTTTTATCTATCTCAGAGGAATTGCTTCCTTCAGGAAATTCTGAAGCTATTGGCTCTGGTTTCCTTGGCAACCCCTGCCTCTCAGATTTTTTTCTGATTACTGAAGAGAAATCTGACTAAATCACTGATAACCACCACAGGAATAGTAGAAGGAAATGAAAGTGCTCACATAGCCTCTGAGAAAGGAAGTGGAAACAGAAAAATACTGAGGCCTGGGGAGATGGAAGTATGATGTGTGAAAAAAAATATTGATTTACATTATTTTCATTTGTCAGGGAACTGTTGTCAGGATTGTCAGGAGATTTTTGAAGAGGACTACCTCATTAGCCAGACATTTGTGTCATCTACTCAACCCAAATGCTCCTACGCGTGGCTCAACCAATATGGAGTTTAGGAAATGATATTCTAGATTATTGTGAGAGTATGTATAAAGTACAAACCGTAGGCTAAATTTGTACTAATGTTCACATTGTATATTGCATTGTATATCAGTATGCAGTGCAAAGAGAACTGAATAAGATTAGTAACTACTAATTTTTTGTTTTTGGTGATACTGGGGTTTGAACTCAGAGCCTCTCCTATAGGTGCTCTACCACTTGAGCCATCCCCTCAACCCTTTTTTTTTTTGCTTTAGTTATTTTTCAGTTGGGGTGTAATGTTTTTATCCTACCCAGGACCTTGGTTTTCCTATTTACATATCCCTCATAGCTGGGATGACAGGTGCAGCTACCATACCCAGCTTATTGGTTGAAATGGGGTCTTGCTAACTTTTTATCCCAGCTGACCTTAAACCTTAAACCACTATTCTCTTGATCTCTGGCTCCAGAGTAGCTAGATAACTACCAATCTTAATCGTTGGTCTTAGGAGTTTATAAAATATAACCAGAGAGATTTCGTTGCTTTATGCAGTACTGCTATTCACTATTTCACATTGTTATGCTATTGCTTTTATTAAAACAAGTTACTAGATCAAGAATTGAGTGCTTTGCCTGAGGCTAAGATATATATACATTTCTGCTAAAATTCAGAAATACTTTTAAATCAGGCAGGTTGAGTGTTGGTGAACATACAAGACATTTGAAAGGCACTTACCAGAAGGTAGTTTTGTTTCTACTCTTCAAAGTAAATTGAGCATAATTTGGATTCTTAACCCTACCAGGAGTAAATTAAAAAGCATTAATCTGTATAAACAGACTATTTTTCTAGGAAATAACTGAGTTGTATTGGATTCTATGTGGTAAACATTTGAATAAAAAAGTAATTGGTTTCCTGTGTAGTTATTCACTCATTACATATGGAGATAACTGATAATCACAATTTTTTATATTTAGTGTAAAATAAACACTGTAATACTGTTTTGTTTCCTTCCTTTCTGTCTGTTTGTGGGTGCAATAGTTTTGCTGGTGGCTCTTGCATTAGTCTCCATCTTTTCCCCATTATGAAATAGTTCCCCAGTCTGGCAGGCTTATCCCTGCCTTCCAGCACAGATGAGTCCTGATTGGCCAAAACTACTCAGAGTCATCCCATCCCCACACGGATTTGTTTGCCTTAGCCAATCACGTTCCACAGGACTCGTGGATTGGTCAGGATCGTCTGGGCACCGAGGTTCTGGTTACCACCTGCAGCGATCTTGTGTCCTTAAGGAAGTTGGCATGAGGTGTGGAGGGGGGCACTTCTGGAGAACGCCCCTGCACCTTTCTGTAATGTAGGTCAATACATTCCTTTAAGTTAGGCCAGTTTCAGTTGAACGTATTTGTAAATATCTGTTTTTTTTTTTTTTTTAACTTAGGGCCTCACACTTGCTAGGTAGGCGCTCTTACTGCTTGAGCGGAGATAGGGTCTTGTGAACTATTTGCCTAGGGTGGCTTGGAACCTTGATACTCCTAATCTCTGCCTCCTGAGTAGCTAGGATTACAGACCTGAGCCACTGGCATCTTGCTAGGGCCTGTGTTTTTTGCCCTGGCAGGCATGGAACCTCATCCTTCTACCTACACTTCCTCCATAGCTGGGATTACAAAGGTGTGAGCACACCAGCCTTGTTGGTTGACATGGAGGTCTCGCTAATCTTTTTTTTTGCCAGGGCTGGCTGGAAAGATGATCTTTCTGATCTCTGCCTTCTGAGTAGCTGGAATTACAGGTGCTATTTATTATTAATATTAAATATTCACTAACTGTAAAGCACTGTGCTTATAGTAGTGATAAACATAGCTCCAGTAGTCAGCACAAAGGAGTAATCGAAGAGGCAGATAGTATCAAAGAGGCATACAGAAATTATAATGTGTTCTTTATACATACTTTTCTGAAGTGTGAGTGACTTCTAAATCTCACCATGCTATTCCTCTGCTGAAGAATCCCTAAAAGAAGATCCTTCTTCTTTTTGTGTGTGTGGTAGTACTAGGATTTGAACTCAGGACTCCATGCTTGTTAGAAAGGCTTTCTACCTCTTGAGCCATTCCACCTGCCCAATATCCATGTTTTTGTTAGGTAAAATCTAAACTTTTAAGATGACATATGAAGCCTTCCTGTCTCTCTAGCCCTAGAGCCAGACTTGATTGTGCCATGCTGCAGCACTGAGGCACTGAGCAAGTTTTCAACTGCCTAGTGAAGATAATAATGCTTATCCCAAGGACAGAACAGTATAAAATGCCAAGTGTATTGTCTGCCTTAGAGTTAACAATAAATATTGGTTATTGTAGTATAACAAAATGTTATTTTATATATATAGATATATGTATACATACATATATAGGTGTTCAGTCTCTCTTGCTTTGTCAGTTGGACCCTTTGAGGTAATGACAGGGTATATTGAGTGTGTCACATGTGTTATATGTATGGGTGTATGTGTTATTGTGTGCATGTGTTTGTTCAGTCTTTCTCAGGAGGGTCCTTTGAGGTGCTCATTGGGTAATATTTGAACACAGGTAGATCTTCCCCACCCTCCCCCCCCCCAAAAAAAAAGAGGAAAGGGAGAGATTGATTTGAATAGGTTGGGAAGAAGACTGGGAGGTGACAGGGGAGGATGAATAGAGATAGAGAGTTTTCTTTTTTAAGGTGCTGTGGCTAAACCCAGGACCTCACTCTTGCTAGGCGCTAGGCAAGTGGCCTACTACTAAGCTACATCCCCAGCCCTGTTTATTTTTCACAAGGGGCGGGGATTGGGATGGGGAAGTCATAAAGTTCAAGAAAGAAGACATTTGAGAGAAGAGGTTGTCAAAGAAATTGGAACTTTGGAGACAGAAATGGATGAAGATTTTTAGAATGTTTCTGCTAACTCCCCCTCCATGCCTTCTTCCTTTAGCGCCCAGCAGATTTACTTTGTCCAGGCATTGTGGTGGTTATCTGACACGGGGTTTGGATTGGTCATGAATTAATCCAGCCATATTCCACTGGACTAATTATTTGCCATGTGATCATTCACCACATACCTTACCTCTGACACCTGCCCAAATCTATTCATCTCACAAGTATTTAAGTGACCTGTCTTCTCCGGGTCTCCTGAACAGCCCAAGTTTTCCAAAGTCAGCCCTTAAATTTTTCTGACAGCCCAACACTGAAGTCTGCAGCCAGCTCTCCGTACCCGCCTTAGTCACCGCACTAGTACTGTGCTCAGTTATCTGTCTTTCCTCCTCTGCAGTGCTTTTTGTAGTCGGGAGTGAGTGACCTCTGATGAACCTAGTAGTTCAGGGCACGGCAAGAAGCAGGCGCTTGGGAAATGTTTGTTGAATGAGTGTGCGTCTCAGTGACGTCACATCCTGTGTGCTGGGCGTCATTCTGCACCCTTCGGCAGCTGGCTCCGACGTTCACGGTTATTGTTTGTAACTTGCGTGGAGCCTCTCCAACACAGGTTAAGGGTGCAGCCCGCCCACCAGAGGCGCGGCCAAGGCTTGCTGGGTGTGGGACCGACAAGTGTCCTCGCCGTAGGACTCCGGCAGAAGGCTGAAACGTGCGCGACTCCAACGACGCCTGCGCGGAGAGGCTGGAACGCGGAGGCGCGAGGAACGGTAGGGGGCCGCTCACTTCTCGCGATGTTTCCCCCTTCACGCTCCTAGGGGAGTTCTCGCGACACTAGCAAGGCAAGATGGCCGTTCTCTGTTTTTCAGTGTGAGCCCCGGCGGCGGCTGCGGCGACGGGAATCCCGGTGTCGGGGGCATCTGTGCTCTAGCTCCCCCTGCGACCGCAGGTCCCTCGGTGCCTAGGCGAGAGTCGCCTCTTCTTCCCACGGGAGATGCGTCTGTCCGGGGCTCGGGGGCGCTCTGGGAGTTCATGCTGCGCTGGAGGCTCCTGGCCGCCGCTCTAATCGCCTGGTGCCACCGCAGCGCCAGCTCTGTCGCCCGCGGTGAGCCTCTGGGATCCCCCCAGTGCCCCTGGCGGCGGCGATGACCGGGGAGAAGATCCGCTCCTTGCGGAGGGACCATAAGCCCAGCAAAGAAGAGGGGGATCTGCTGGAGCCCGGCGATGAGGAAGCGGCGGCTGCTCTCGGCGGCACCTTTACCGGAGGCAGGGTTGGCACCGGCGGCAGCGGCAAGGGCGGCAAAGCCTGTCATAAGATCTTCAGCAACCATCACCACCGGCTGCAGCTGAAGGCAGCTCCGGCCTCCTCCAACCCCCCCGGCGCTCCGGCCCTGCCGCTGCACAATTCCGTGACTACCACCTCCCAGTCCCCGGCTCTTCTAGCCGGCACCAACCCGGTTGCTGCCGTCGCAGATGGAGGTAGTTGCCCTGCACACTACCCGGTGCACGAGTGCGTCTTCAAGGGGGATGTGAGGAGGCTGTCCTCTCTCATCCGCACACACAATATCGGGCAGAAAGATAATCACGGTGAGGAGTGCTAGCCCTTCTACACCCTTCCTTCCTCGACCCCAAAGTGCGCATCCCGAGGCCTCTGGCATCCTGCGCCCCCTCCATCAGACCGGTCTCTCCTTTGCCCATCGTCCGGGCGGTGAATCGTGAGCGATTCAGCAGTAGCGTACCAGTGGTCAGGAGCTTGGTTCCTGTGGGTGCCAAAGGGGCGTTTCCTTCTTGCCCACCTCAGTGTTCCTGTGAGAAGCTATTTTACCTCTGAGGCAGGCTTTCGTTGTACTGATTCTTGACTGTCAGACATTTTAGGTTACCTCCAGTCCAGCCTGGCATCGTTTTGTTTACGGACGCATTTCTTTCTCTCCCACCTTTGGATCTTTAATTTTGAACATAAATTGTCCACTTTCCTTCATCATCCAGGTACAGATCCCAACTAGACTGCAATTAGTTGTGATTTCTACCTGCCATCAGGTTGTCAATTTCCTTTTTTACCAGCTTTCATGAAACTTAAACACTGATTTCTGAAAGCTACACCGTAGAAATTTGTCGGTATTTGATTCCCAGATAATTAGAGTGACTTCTCAATAGCCATTTTATTAATGTTACCTGTTTTACGTATACAATTGCTGTAGTAATGTCTCATCTTGAGTGCAACTAATAATAGTATTGTGGTTTTTCATAATAACTTCACCATAGTCTATATGAGAAAGTATATTTGTTACTGAAGGTGATTTATTTGCCTTTTAAACATGAGTGAATTTTAAAATTTATTCATTTTTTTCTTGGTGCTGGTGATTGAGCCCCGGGCCTTGCACATTGGTAAATTTGTTAATGGAAACTAATGTAAATGCCGGCATTATTTTCAGCGTTTAATAAATAGGTCATTTTAAACTGAGTAGCTCGCAAATATGTAAATGCCGATATTATTTTCAGCGTTTAATAAATAGGTCATTTCAAACTGAGTAGCTCGCAACTATTGTTGATAGCTCTGCTTTTAATTTAACACGAAAATTGTATACATTTGGCTAGAATACACTCAACTCTGCTGAAAATGATAGAGCACATTAATGAAGGTACTGTGGAATAAGCTCTGTTAATATTGTTTGAGTCTAGGCTTCCTATTTAAAATTAGGACAAAAATTGAAGTTAAAAAACTAAGTTTTCTATTGATTGTATAGCACTTGTTTTCTGAATTCATAACATTGCAGTTGTAATATCACTATCTACCACTTTTCATAAATCAAATCCCCAAAAAAGTACCTTGAAGTTGTCCCCAGTTTCTTCTTCTTACATTTAATTTATGTCATCATGTTACTATTGTAACAAGCATAAGCATAATGTTAGTTGCAGAAGAGAATTGTATTCTAACATTTTGGGAAACAGTTTGTAGCCCCAGTTTATTAGTCAGTTATTGGGAAGTTTTTTGGTCTGCATATTAGCTGTATGTTGTATCTTACACCCATTGCATTTAAAATTTACATTACCTTGGATTGTCTCTGAAAACAGATAAAACATTCCTTTTGAGAGTTAACTCCCTTTAAAAGAAGAGACAGATGAATATCACAGAAGGTGTGGATTGTTGGGCTTCCATTTCTTAGACGAACATTTGGGAGTACATTTGTTAAACTTCAGAGTCTCTTTAAAGTAATTAGAACCTGTTTACCCTTAAACTCCTTAGCCCACTGAAGTTCACTTTTAAAATAAAGTGTTTGTACTTTGTTTAGCTCCTTTATTTTATTTCTGATGAATGTAGCCAGTGGTTCACACACCTGTGAAAAGTATAATTGTGCCTCCTTTCTCAGTATACATTCTCATCTCATCTTAGTGGCTTCTTTACTCTCCCCATCCCCCACCGTAGCTTCATAATTGTCTGGTTACATTTTATGTTATTATTTGTACTTTTGATATTTTACTAAGTGGGATCCTATACTTAGATATTAAGAATATATTTCCTGTCAAATTATAAAAGATAAGTGCATTTTAAGTTACCCAAACAAGAGGAAGCTACATAGTATATTTGGATTCTTATAACATGATAGGCGCATAGCAGAATCGCATACTCACAGAGATGCATAGCAATGCTATTTAATTACACCACATATCACAGTTTCCTTCCATGTGATGATGTCAGTTATGATTATTACCATTATTATAGATAGAATTTACTGAGTGTGTCAGCACTATGCTATATGTTTACATACATTGTCACATTTAATCCTGACAACAGCCCTGCAAGGTGGTTTATCCTCATTTTAAAGGTGAGAAAAGTGAAACAGAGAGGCAAGGAAACTTTGCTAAAGTTACATACTTAGTGTAAGTTGCAAAGCTAGAAATAGAACTAATAGCCAGGATTCCTAAGCCCTGGATGAACCTCTTGTAACTATTGATTGAGACCCACTATATTACACAGAAGCCAATTCTGATAATGTGCTTTGATTTCTAACAAAATTCTTTAATATGTATTCTCTCATCTAGTACTTAAAGGGTTGCAGCCCTAGTTAATCAGTCAATTATTAGGAGTTTAAAATCTTTTATAATTGTAGAAAGATTCTGTCATTGGACTGCTTTCACACATTTTCTGCAGAACGCTTTTTTTTTTTTAATGGTCCTTTTTTTTTTTTTAATGTGATGGATGGCTACTCTATTCTTCCACAGGATAGCCCTTTAGATACTGACAAGATCTGTTATTTCCCTTATCTTATTCCTCATATGACATGGTTAACAAAGTGCTTAAAGCAGCCCCTGAAATATAAAAATGCAATATAAGTGTTAAATATATAAATGCAATCATTTTCTTTTAGTGGAACTCTAGTTTGTTAATTCTTCCCTTTGAGGCTGGTTTTCTGCCACTAACCTTAATGCCGAAGCTGTAATAGCCCATGAGCAAAAGTAACCTCATGGGAGACTGTTTACTGCTTCAAAGCAGTTCTCAGTTGTGCAGTTCAAGAATATGATAATTTTTTAGTATTGCTTTTCAAGTTATCTACTCTCTTTTTGCATTTTTTGAAACAGGTTTTCTCCATGTAGCCCAGGTTAACCTCAAACTCCTGTCCTATCCTCCTCAATGCTTAGATTATAGGCTCCTGCCACCATGCATCTTCCATTTACTTTTTCAGCCTTAATATAGGACCTTACGTTTATTTTATTTTGCTAGTTTTAGTCCTTTTCCTTTTATTTTATCTGGAGAGCTTGCTGAATTCTAATTTGTTCACTATTTAATTCACTATTCAGTAGGTCTTTTAGTTTTCCTGATCTCTGATTTCATAAACACTTTTTGGTATGTGTTCACTTTTTTCCTTTGTGATAAAATGTTGGTTGATGGCTTTTCTTGAGCCATCAAAAAAGTACATAGCACTGTTTTGTAATTGAGACTGTTATGAAGCATATAGACTTTTTTTTTTAATTGCACTTCTTATTTGTTAAACTTGTAATTTGTTTTTTCCTTGAGTTAAATATCCTTATGAAGTTAAGCAGCTTCTCTTGGATGTTAGCCAGAATCTTTTAGGTGCCAGAATGATGAAAGTCCTGGATTTATGGTTGTATGAATTGCTCAGATCAGCCTTTCAGAATGTTCATTTAAGAACTGAGGAAGTAGAATTATTTGTTTGGTGACTATGCAGTATGTTTATTTAGTTTATTCTCTGTATGTCCTTTATGTTCCTGTGTTGTTTTTATTACTAAACTGGGTGATGCAAAAGAATAATGTGGAGGAGGTCTTTTTGAGAAGAGGTGACTAAAAAACAAAACACTGCATGAGAAAACAAAACAAAAAAATCTTGAACTAAGCTACTGGTAAACAACTTTAGTTAGGAAGCTGTTAAAGTGATGGAATATCTTTAAAAGAACATTAGTAATTCCATATTCTCTGTTTTTTGTAGTTTTTCAAAACCATTTTTTAAAGGCAGACCTGTTTTCCTTGGGAAAAAAGTGACATGTAAAAGGCCCAAGATGATCCATTCAAGTGTGTTCACTGTGTTCTTATACCTTCCCTGGGTGTGAGGAGGATTTGGTCATGAAATCGGGACACTCCATTGATCTCTCAGGATTGATTTATTTGATCTTTGTGACTGGATGAATGTGACCTTCCTCCTTTCTTCCTCATGAGCATCTCCAACACAGTAGGACTGTCCTTTAAGTGTCTACTTAAGTGGTTTTATTTCCTGATAGTATTCCTATTAGCACGAACAACTTGACCATCCTTTAGCAGTATTGTGAACATATCTATTAGGCCACCTCAAAAAAGGAAGGGTACTCCTCTCCGCTTTCCTGTTCTGAGCTGCAGTAGCAATAAGAATTGTGACTTAATTTTGGCAAAAAGTGGCAGAGATGGGTATTTGTTAGTGATGTTAGATCCTGAGCATCCTCAGCTAGGCAGGAGAATTCTGGAGGACTTATTGGACAATGGAGGTGTAGGTAGTTAATGCCATTCTTAAGTCATAGGAGTCTAATGCAGAATGCAGTGTAGTTGACAGGATGTGTTGGGTTCTAGAAAATGAGTGCTAGCCTAGAAAATTGGCTAGAGACCAAGTAAGCAACAATATGCTTCTTACACCATTTATTTCCTTGGCAGAGAAATGGGAAATCAGTTTTACAGCAAGATTGAAATGTAAAATCTAACTGTTTGAAGATTATGTATGGTGTTAGTTCTTAAGCAGTGTGAGGTTTTACTGTGTGGTTTAGTTGAATTTTACCTGTTTATACCTGTTACTTACTCTTGTTGAACTCCTAAAGATTACCCACAAAACTTGAACACCGTTTCTGTGTTTGGAATCAATGTGAGTTTGAGGTCCTGCATCTCTACAAACTGTTTTTTATGACATTTAATTAACCTCTGAAATAAGTAGATAAAATATATACCTCTTAAGGTATTATAATCTCAAATGGGAGAATGGACTTGAAAGTATTTTAACTCAGAAGGCTTCTGTAATCATAATATCAATTAATGTGTCTTGCTCTCACATTTGGTGTTAAGTGCCCTCTAGCCAAAGCTACTCATTTTTGATGTTTAGTTAGGCTATCAG